CACTGACGTGAAGTAGCTAAAGATTACGTGAAGGTGGATTATGTTGTAAAACAACGAATTAATTGAGGATTTTCACTTTAAAACATTGTACTAATTGAATATTTTTCACGAAGTTAAACTTTACGAAACAGCTACTGAACAGTGAGAAGACTTTAGATAAAGTATGGATTTCTTAAAGTTCATAAAAACGATTAAACTCAAAGGTATTAAATATTGTTTTATCGTTTATCTGTAGATAATGTAGATCAACTTGGGACACCAAGATCACCCAGAAAAGAAGGAAAAATTAGTTTACAGCTGTTCGGTTGGCGTTTTGTTTCCAGGATAGTACGTTTAACAACTAACTTAATTACTAAATATTTAAAAGCCAAAAAAGGCTCGGCCCAATGTGTTCCTCAAGGGTCGTTAAGATGTGTTTTTAGGCTTACCTCAGCTGTTTTAGTTTGTTTATTGCTAAGCACAATGGACTATCACTGCTGTGTTTACCACGAGTATCGAAACCCGGTTTTGAACTTATTGCTGAGACTCTGGGAGGACTTTCAAGTTTGAAGTATAAACTTGTGAAAGTAAACATTGCTTCACTTAGCTAGAGAGAAACTGTTTACGTGGTGTTACAGTAATAGGAACTTGAAGGAAACACTGTTTACATGGTGTTACAGTAATAGGGACTTGAAGTAAACTGTTTACTGTTATGAAATTTAAATTCAGTTCACTTCAGCTTGAGGGAACTGTTTACATGGCGTTACAGTACACATGCTTGTGAAAGTTAACCTCACTTCACTTCAGCTTGAGGGAACTGTTTACATGGTGTTACAATACACGGGTTTTTGAAATTTAATCTACTTCACTTCAGCTTGAGGAAAATTGTTTACATGGTGTTACAATACACGGGTTTTTGAAATTTAATCTACTTCACTTCAGCTTGAGGAAAATTGTTTACATGGTGTTACAATACACGGGTTTTTGAAATTTAATCTACTTCACTTCAGCTTGAGGAAAATTGTTTACATGGTGTTACAATACATGGGTTTGTGAAAGTTAACCTCACTTCAGCTTGAGGAAAATTGTTTACATGGTGTTACAATACATGGGTTTGTGAAAGTTAACCTCACTTCAGCTTGAGGAAAATTGTTTACATGGTGTTACAATACATGGGTTTGTGAAAGTTAACCTCACTTCATCTTGAGGAAAACACTGTACACTTCATTGCGTTTAAATCTGGCCGTTGTAAGCAAGACCAAATAACGTCTTTTTCTGTGTTTCTTGTGCCAAACAAATTGGAAAACAGCCATGAAGCAGTTTTACAACTTTTCAGAACTTAAAGTATGTCATTACTAACCTTAGATAGCTCCGCGTGAAAGATCGCGAAACCCCAGTAAAGCCTTTATTAACGTATCTTACAAAGTCAACAGTGCTGTAACTAATAGTGCTTACACAAATCCCACATGCACGGAATTTACACGCTAAATGCCAGTAACTTCTCCCTGTACCTATGACACATCTCTGTGTGTGACAGAAGCCAATATTTACCTAAGAACACTTACACAAGCAACACAAATAAACATACAAAAAAGGTAGATTTACTTTGTATCTAACACTTACACAAGCAACACAAATAAACATACAAAAAAGACAGATTTACTTTGTATCTAACACTTACACAAGCAACACAAATAAACATACAAAAAAAGGTAGATTTACTTTGTATCTAACACTTACACAAGCAACACAAATAAACATACTTTGTATCTGTTCAAATGAAAAAAAACAGCAGAGTACTCTTAAATTAAGTAAGCCTAATTTCGTCTTACCGAATTAATTTATCTTTTATTCCTCAAAAATTACAATTCTCTCTTTTTTTTTCATTTTCAGAATTAATACATGCAACTTGACTGCCACATACATGCAACTTGACTGCCACATACATGCAACATGACTGCCACATAC